AAAAGATTATATATATATATATATATATATATATATAAGATATGAAATTAATGGTCTTTAAGAAATCTGCCAAACATCACTTCCCCAAGAGAATAATAATTAAAGTAAAACTAGTAGAGAAGGCTCTCAAATTCTAGAGAGAGGAAACAACTTATTTTTAAAAGTTTTCATATCCTATTCATCTGGTTCCTCTTGAATGGTGGCGGAGGGAAACCGGCCATCATCTCCTAATGACCGAAATACCTCAATTCTCTATTCTACCAGGTTTCCATATGATTATAATCGTGGTGGATGCAAAGGTAGAAATGCTAGTAACCATGAATTTGTGATCAAGCAAACGCCTTTAGTTATCACCGAATGTCGGTTTCTTCCAAACCATAACGTGGTTTCGGTGCTGGTAAAAGGTAAAGAACCTATGGAAAGTTTGGGAAAGAAGAAGGAGCCAGTGATTCTTTCCTCCCCATCAAAGAATTGGTTGGCTGGCACGCGAATGATTTAGAGGCATCATCATCCATTGGGTGGAAGTTGAAGGTAAACAGATTATCAAAATTACCCTATACTGAGGCAGAAAAATAAAAGTTTTTGAATTCAAATTTGATGAAGTCTAAAATCGATGAAGGTTTGATTTTTGGAGGTGAAAATCAAATGGCAGGTGAATAAGAAGTCTTACTGAATAATGGAAACTTAAATTCGGTAAATGTTTTGTCTAAGAATCACAAATAATAGCTAATTAAATTAATCCTGATCTGGAAGAAATTGTATATTCATTTGTAGTTAAATTGGATATGGACAAGGTTGCTGAAAATGTCAAATTGCTTCAGAAATTTCTTGTGGTGAAGGTGTTTGGGAAAGGAATTATGTTTTTTTCTCTTTGTAGCATTGAATTAAGGTGTTAATGGGATAAATTTGGGATGTTTCATATCACCTCATTGGGCCTTGATTGGATTTTGTGTTCATTTCATTCATCTCAGGTTATGGAAGAAGCATTGAGTGGAGGTCCACGTTATGTGGGAGGACACACAATAGGAATGGATAAATTGACGCCTCAATTTTATCCTACATCGTTGAAAGGGTTATCCTCACCAATTTGGATTCGCTTGCCTCATTTTCCCCTATATTGTTGGGATGAGACTAATGTTACCAAGATTGTCTAAAAGATAAGAGTTCCTTTGTTATTGGATGGAAAAATGTTCAAATGGGGAAGACGTGAATTTGCTAGAGCGTGTGTACAAATTAATATAGACTCTAAATTATCTCATGGAGTTTGGATTGAAGAGTTATATGGGAATTTTTTTCAAAAAATTGAATATGAAAAAATATCTTCTTTTTGTTTCAATTGTGGCAAAATAGGTCACAAAA